ACTCCTCTTACTTCTCACTCCTCTTACTTCTCACCCTCTTCCCTCTCCTCCCTCTTCCCTCTCCTCCCTCTTCCCTCTCCACCCTCTTCTCACTCCACCCTCTTCTCACTCCACCCTCTTCTCACTCCTCCATCATCACCCTCTAAGTGTTTGGAGGATGGTGTTTGGAAAAATGTAAAACGAAAAGTTCTGGCTCATCTTGATCTCGTTACGTCAATAAGTCAGATAGGATAGACGCTTCTTTGATAAAGTGTATTTGATCTGCCATCCCTCAAGACCGATGCTTCTTCGACTGCCAGTGATCGCTTACAAGAGTCCCGTGAATATGAGTGCAGACTCGTCATGAAAGAGAAAACTTTGACCGGCTTGATCGACCTCACTTCAACCACCATATGATGATGAACTCCTTCGGCAATGTTGAACAGATGTCACTTGGAGAAGCAGTCAAGAAGTGTGAAATGGAAGCAGTTGAAAGGAGGGCAGAGGAAAGACAAATGTTGATGTCAAGGGTGCCATTTCTTCTGTTGTCCCACTTGTTCGAATGCCACGTCATAATTTGATCTTGAGCGACGTACAAGATGACTTTTCATGAATTTTGAAAGGTTTCATCCAATCGGAAGAGGAAGATAATGGCTGATTCGGGCCCCATTCAGGCGTTTGTGCTTGTGACCTCTTTTCAAGTGATGCGGGTCGTGTTTGTGTTGATTGCCACGGTCATTGTTGTGTGACGACTTGAAAAGAGAAGTGTGTGATGCTGATTGTACGATGGGTGGATCTCGAATGACAAGAGAATGATGTCGCTTGAGTGAGATGTGATCTTTTAATCAAAATTGGACGATGCCGTTCGAATGAGGAGTGCTTCTCCGAATGACAAGAGATTGATGTCGGTTGAATGAGATGTGATCCACAAATGAGAAGTGGATAATGTGGCTTAAATGAGCTGTGATCCAAGAACGAGAAGTGAATGATGCCGGTTGAGTGCGGACGCATATGAGATGGCGTTCATTGAATTTTCAAAGGATTCACCGGTGCATCAATGGAAGACCTCGATTGTTTAGGGTTGCATGCTGGCGTTTGCACTTGTGAGGCTTTTTTGTGAGGTGAAGTGATGCCATGTTTGGTTGTATTTGAGTGCCACAATCATTGTCTTGTGAGAAACTTGTGATGCTGACTGAACGGCATGTGGATCTTGAGTGACAGGTGGATCTTGAATGAAAAGTGGGTCTTGAATGTCAAATGGATGTTGAATGACAAGAGTTTAATGATGACGAAATGAAAAGTGGATGATGATTGCGGGATGAGAAGTGAGTGTTGGCGGTAGAGATAATTATGGAATGAGAAGTACGTAATGCTGGTTGGATATGAAGTGACTCTCAAATGAGAAGTAGGTCATCTTTTTTTTTTTTTTTTTTTTTTTCCTTTTTTTTTTTTTTTTTTTTTTTTTTTTTTTTTTTTTTTTTTTTTTTTTTTTTTTTTTTTTTTTTTTTTTTTGATGTAGTTGCAAAGCGAAATGTCGCTTCGGGATGTGTGAGAGGAGGAGTGTGAGGAGGAGTGTGCGGAGAAGTGTGAGGAGGAATGAGAATAGCAAAGAACGAGTTCTTTGACCCCAAGAAAGGGTAGCGTGAGGAGGAAAAAGCAAGCGTCGTATAAGATGTTGCAAGAGTGATCATGTCGCCATTTTTATTGATGATCAAGTAATGCCATATTGACCATGAAAGTTGTTTGTGAAGTGAATTTTGGAACCGTTGAGTAAACATGATGCTGCTGTGACTGTGTCGGAAGACTTGAGTAATGGTAATGGCAAGTGCACCATTCCGGCTGATGTTTGATTTGTTCCGTATATACGTTCGAATTTCGATCTTGCGTGCATCGGCAAAGGGAAAAGCGATGTATTCGACTGCTCTCCTTGATCTTTCGAAGATTTTCTTGAATTGATCGGGAAACACTTGGTTGATTTGGGCCCCATGTTGATTTGGGGCCCCATTTAGTCGTTTGTGGGAGAAGTGTGTGATGCTGATTGTACGATTGGTGGATTTCGAACAAGAAGAGAATTATGCTGCTTGAATGAGCTGTGATCTATGAATCAGGATTGGATGATGCCGGTTGAGTGAGGACGTATATGAGATGGCGTTCGTTGAATTTTTCAAAGTCTTTCCTGGAGCGTCGAAGAGGATCTTGGTTGGCTAGGTTGTATGCTGGCGTTTAGAATTGTGAGCCTTTTCTTGCGAAGTAATGTCATGCTTGTTTGTATTTGAGTGCCACAATCATTATTTTGTGATGCTGATTGGATGGCAATTGGATCTTGAATGATAAGGGGGCCTTTGGATTTGGAATGA